TATGACAAGCTCCCGAGTGACCCGCGCAGACGAGCAGATATTCGAAGAAGAGCTGCACGCTACGCCTACTTCAACGGCATACTCTATCGTCGGTCGTTCGACAACATGTTCCTTCGATGCCTCGGCAATCATCAAGCCAAACAAGCTATGGAGGAAACTCATGCCGGAATCTGTGGAGCTCATCAAGCTGGCCCAAAGTTACACTTCTGAATAAAGAGGATGGGGTATTATTGGCCAACCATGGTTAAAGACTGTATAGAGTTCGCACGGAGCTGCCAACCGTGTCAATTTCATGCTAACTTTATCAATCAACCACCGGAACCATTGCATCCAACTATTGCTTCGTGGCCATTCGATTCCTGGGGCATGGACGTTGTAGGACCACTCACAAAGTCGTCCGCTGGACATCTCTATATCTTGGCCGCAACAGACTACTTCTCCAAATGGGCAGAAGCAGTTCCTTTGAAAGAAGTCAAAAAGGAGACGGTAGCTGACTTCATACGAGTCAACATCATTTACCGTTATGGGGTTCCTCGGTGTATCATCACTGATAATGGAAGATCTTTTCCCAATACTCACATCGACAAGCTTTGTGAAAAGTTTGGCTTCCAACAAAAGAAGTCCTCAATGTATTATGCACCGGCAAATGGACTCGCAGAGGCATTCAATAAAACACTTTGTAACTTGCTGAAAAAGGTTGTCTCCAAATCAAAAAGAGATTGGCATGACCGCATTGGTGAAGCTTTGTGGGCCTATCGTACTACATTCCGCACTCCAACACAAGCGACACCATACTCACTTGTATATGGGGTCGAAGCTGTCCTCCCATTGGAAAGACAAATTCCTTCACTAAGGATTGCTCTCCAGGAAGAATTGACGACTGAAGAAAATGTCAGATTAAGACTCGAAGAGCTAGAGGCTCTCGACGAGAAAAGACTACAAGCTCAACAAAGACTGGAGTGTTATCAAGCACGATTGTCTCGAGCTTACAATAAAAAAGTCAAATCACGATCCTTTCAAATCGGGGACTTGGTTCTTGCTGTGAGAAGGCCCATTGTGATCAACTTTCGTTCGGGAAATAATTTTTTATCCAAGTGGGATGGACCCTACGTCGTCACTCAGGTTTACACAAATGGTGCATACAAGTTGACATCTCAAGACGGACTCCGGATAGGGCCAATCAACGGGAGGTTCCTCAAAAGATATTATGCGTGAGACCTTTAAATCAAATCAAGACTCCTTAGCATGAGGATAAACTGCAAAATAACAATAAAAGCAAATTCAAGTTGCTTTGAACTACGTTATGACTTGATCCCTTTACCGGGTACGTAGGCAGCTTGAGATATACCTTCAAGTTCAGTCAAATAAATAAATAAATAAATAAATAAGTGATAAAGGATTTGGGTAAAAAAAAAAAATGCTCAAAAAAAAATATATAAAAAAGAAGAAGAGAGAATTTAAATTTATTGATTGGCAATCAAAATGAAGAGTACAGATTGATCTTAAACATTAAGATTATACAACTCTTCTTTGCTAATATCCAACAACTCTTCTAAGTTTTTTAAGTATTCTTCGTCTTGCGCGGGGACATTCTCTACAGCGGCGAGTTCATCCTTGACTTTAGCAATTTGAATGGTGATATTCTCATTAACTCCTTGACGTCGCTTAATAAGGGAAATATTCTCTCTCTTTTGCTCTTGTAAAGAGCGAAGCTTCACGTCAATATTCTCCACACACCCCTCTAACTCCTTGATAGCTTCGCACTCCTCAACATGCCTCGTCTCAAGGTGCGACAATCGATCTTTGATCTCGGAAATCTGTTGGTTACGAGCCGCCAAGGATACAGCGTTGATCGAGTCAGAACATGCCTCATCAAAATATGCAGCGTCATCAAAAAGGGCCTTGACTCGGTCCTCAATATGAGAAATGTCAGAATACTGAAAGCTTTTCATTGATTGGAGCACTACATCAACCTCGTCCTTAATCGAGGAAAGCAAACGAGTTGGTGTCCTCAAAAGCTTACCCCGAAGATCCGACCATACTTTTCCTATATATTCGCGTTGGATCCCTTTCACAAAATTCGCGCCACAGAATTCTGAAACCGCGGGCACAACGGAATAAACAACTATGGGCTTGGTTGGAGCATCTTTACTTGCTCATTGCAAACACCTCTGCTTTCTCCAATCACCTCAACAATGGAAGCTCGGCTCGCCATCTTTTCATCCATACTCGGGATTCTTTGCTCCAACTGAAAAAGGGGATAAAAAAAAACGGATCATGACAAAAAAAAAATATAAGCAAAGATCAAAAGATGAAAAAAAAAAAAACAAAAACAAAACAACAACACAAGAGAAATAAGCCTACCCTAGAATGAGAGAAATCAAAATTGTGAGAAGTTGAGAATGATAAAGTTTTCTCATGGTGAGGGGTTTATATAGTGTCTAAAAATTGAGACATGGAAAGACATGCATAAGGGAAGGAAGAAAATAAGGAAATAAAAAAAAAAGGGAAGAAAGATAAAAAATAAAAACAAAGAATAAAGGAAAGAATATATATATATATATGATATGTGTATATATATATAAAAAAAAAAAAAGAAAAAATTTTGGCAAAAACGCCATTTAAAAAAAATGGCAAAGATGCCATTTATTTTAAAAAAAAAAAAAAAAGGGAAAAAAAAAGAGAATTTTGCAAAAAAAAATGCTAATTTTGTATAAAAAGAAAATGGCAAAAACGCCATTAAAAAAAAAAAAAAAATTGCATAAAAAAATGGCAAAAACATCATTTACAAAAAATGCAAAAAAAAAATGCCAATTTTGCATAAAAAGAAAATGGCAAAAACGTCATTAAAAAAAATAATAATAAAAAAATACAGTTTTGCATTAAAAAAATGGCAAAAACGCCATTTACAAAAAAAATGCAAAAAAAAAAAAATGCCAACTTTGCCAAAAAAAAAAATACAAAAAAAAAAAAGGCCATTAAAAAAAAAGAGAAAAAAAGAAATTCTTTTTCTATGTTTCGAGACTCATTCACGCCTTAAACATTTTGCGTCGGCTTAAACAAGTCTCGATGGGGCATTTTGTAGACACTAAAAATATATGTCTAAAATCAATTAAATATCATGTATTTTGGAAGAAAATAAAATTCCAATAAAATAAATATATGGTATTTAATTATGCACATATGTTAATTTTTGTACAATAAATATCAACCATTAATGCAAAATCTGCTTAAAATGGAAGATATCGTACAAATATTACTTGCATAAATAGAGCCATAATAAATTTGGCAGCAAAATAAATTAATCTTGTCAATAAAGGAAGTGTATAAATTAATATCTTCCAAACAAGGCAATGATATAAAGATCTTGTCAATAAAGGAAGTATATAAATTAATATCTTCCAAAAAATGCAATGATATAAAGATTTTGGCGAAAAAGGAAGGTGCATAATCAAATCCGTCAAAAAATGGAAAACGGCATCAGATGAAAAATGAAAGATTATAAAATCTTTCCATCCACGTGGCACTATCCGAAAAGGAAGCCAAGGCCACCCTCCCCTATAAATAGGAGCCTTGGCCAATTCATTTAGACACCGAAGTTCATTTGAAGACTCGCGCAAGGGTAAGTCTCTCTAGACTCTCTGCAATGTTCTTCATTGTTCTTCGTGTCCTTCGAAGCGTTCTTCGTCGAAAAGTCACCAATTTGGACAGATGATTCAATATTGGTTGACGAATCGATGGAGTTAACGTTCTTCGTCGTATGTCCGAGTCGGAAGAAGGATCAAAGCTCTCAAAGCCATCGAGGAATCCATCAAAGCCAAGGAAGAGCCTCCAAAGTCGCTCCCAAAGCTTCAAGATGTTCGTCGCGTTCTTCATAAAAGGCGCAAATCAGGCCCTCTTCGATCCAAAAGTCAAAGGGACACGCCGCCAAAAGCGTTATGGAGCACCAAATCCCTCCCTTAAGGATCAAATTCCGTCGGATCATCCAAATGAGGCATCAATCCAAAGTCGACGATCAAAATCGCCAACATAGATACCAAAGTCTTTCAAAAGCCGGCGAAGTCAAACCAAAGACCAAAATCCCTTCGGATCAAAGAAGCCGCCCAAATCCAAATTGGAAAAATGGATCGACCCGGAGAGAGAATCAAAGGATCCAAATAGAGAATAGGACCCGCATATATTAAATTAAATGTAATTTGTACGATTTTGTGTTTATAAAAAATATACCATGTTCTTAACGAGTTTTTTAGAATCCTAATTCCAACCGTATGCTTTATCTTTTTTATGCTTTTTTTTTTTCACTAGGCTTAGAAAAATGCGTGGGCAAGAATATTTGTATGGAGTACTAAGTTTTGAATCCCAATAATTATTTTTTATGAAAAATCGAACTAATTTTCCTTCGGCTGTCAAATTTAACCCAACGAAAAATTTTAAGTTAAAAGTATCGACAAGAATGGAGCGGATTTGAGATAGGTTCTCCAGGCTACAAGACCCGCTCTCCCCTAGAAAATATTCGATCTTGTGATAAGTTCCATGCTTGACCTTAATAGGTATGTGATAAGTTCAAAATTAAGGCCATTTAACTATAGAGATATTGTATAGTATATTTTTTATCTGTAAAATAATATAAATAATTAAATAAAATATTTTTAGATACAATATCATCAACCATTATATAAATATAAAATTAAATAATTTTTTTATTTAAGAAGTTCAGCTGCTCAATGGTTAGCTTTCATCCAATTTGCAACTTGGAAATAATTCAGGTTCTAAAATGCACCGGTAACATTATATAATCATATTTTGCATTGATTTCCGGTGCTTGATTTAATTTCCACTATTCATCTCATTTTTTCCCCCAAAATCATCAAATTAAACACATATTTTTCATTTTTATATTATACTAAAAATCAATTTTACATTCAAAACATCACATCACACCTATTTATATCACATCATACAACTACTTAAATTCAAAATTTTTACTATTCAATCCCATCTCAAAATCCAAACCCCCAAACAAACACACCCTTAGAGGATTTGGATCAAGCAACCTAGAGATGAGCTTAATGGCGTCAAAAGAAAGCTAAAGAGGACAAGTGAATTCTGCAGCAGATATCTGGTTGTTTTACACAAGAAAAGATGAAATACCAAAGATAAACAAAAAAAAAAACATCCAAAAGCCATACACATAATTGTCGGGACGGTCACTTTTCTATATAGGTTCATAATATTAGTAATTTAGTATCAGCAAAAGGCAAGAAACTTGCGAGCAATACAAAAAGTAAGACCCTACCCTGCATGAACCATAATTAGTCTGCAGTTGCTCTCTCATAACCTTGATCGTCGAGGACCTGTGCAGATTTTAATAAGACCATTTTATAAGGAAAACTGTGGTTGGAGATGCAGATAATAGTTGAATACCTCAGGGGTACATAATTTGGGGTTCTCCATACCATCCTCCTGCAAAATTAATTACATAAAATAGTTACTTTGGTTCCAGTCAGAGTAGCTAATACAAATAAACGTACATATTAAATCTTAGATGAGACTGCACTATAACTAATTCACCAATCCCACAATATGAAACAAATATTATAAATGCTAAATAACAAATTGTGTGTGTGTGTATACATAGGAAAAACATGCAAAAATCAACCCAAAAAACTTCTTGGGACACAATAAATGTGAGTAACAAAACTCAACTAATTTAGATTCACAAATGTAAATATATGTACCCCGACTTCTTCGGATAGAACACTTAACCCGAAATCAGAAAATTTGAAGTTTCTAGCACGCACATCCAACAAGTTTTCCGGCTGCATCGACAAAGGCAACCATTAGAAAGATCCACCCTATGAAATTAAGTATTGGTGAAATAAGTTAGGAACTATATGAACTACCTTTGTATCTCTATCGAAGACTCCCCTGCTATGGCAATAATCGACAACATTAATAAGCTGCTTGAACGACTTTCTTGCTTCATCTTCTTGCATCCTTCCATGGTTCACTTTCTTTGAAAATTTTCTCAATAGAAAAGCTTATACGTCTCAAAAGCATGTTTGTTTTTTAAAAATTTAATCAAATCAACAATATTTAAATTTTTATTGTAGTGAATCGCTTTTATGAAATAAATGCGTATTTTCCTTCATATAACCTTAGAAACTAATAAACTATCTATAAATGGCCGATTTGGCCAAAATTGAAATGTATTTTCCAGTCAAGAGGCATAGGCCAACCACCACACAACGCCCCACTAAGTGATTCAGAACATGTCTTTTATTATTTTCCAATCAACTCATACAGTAGCAAGTTTATAGTTCACTAAAAAAACTGAAACTTAATAATAAAATAAAAACTGAGACAACTTTTTTATAAAATTGAAACGCCAATTTCAGCTATCAAATGATTTTTTCATAATAGATCGAAATACACCTCCCAAACAATGAAATTCATTTGCAATTCCCGAACTCAGGACATAAAAGTTGCACAAAAAGAATTAGACAGAGCGTAAAGCTAAATTATCCTATTTTTTCAATGTGGGCTTGGAAACCAAACAATTTATATATTTGGCCAATAACTTTGAACAAAAAACATTAAAATAAATGTGAAAATGCCAATTAAATTAGATAAAAAAAAATAAAATAAAATACACCAACAAATTAAGTTTATAAGTCCTTTTCCAAAACCCACTGCATGCAGTGGTTGTGCACAAATTGAGGGAGGGGCTTCAATCCACTGCATGCATACAATGTTACTTCAGTTTTAGAGTGGAGATTTTGCGGTATTTTGTGGTGTTTTGTGTATTTTTGTTATTTTTTGGAATGTATTATGTAATTTTTATTTTTTTGAAAAATATATATAATTTTATATTTTAAAAATTTATATATAATTTTACTTTTTTGAAAATTAATATATAATTTTATTTTTTAAATGTGATATATAATTTTATTTTTTTAAAGGGATATATAATTTTATTTTTTGAAAAATGATATATAATTTTATTTTTTTGAAAGTGATATGTAATTTTTTTTTTTTTTAAGGTAACATGTAATTTTACTTTGTAAATAGTTATGTATAATTTTTTTATTTTAAAAATAATTATTTTAAATACCTTCCACAAAAAATTATATAATATCTATGTATAATTAATAAAAAATATACATTTGTATTTAAATTTAAATTTATTTAAACTTGAAGATAATATATATTATAAAATTATTTAGCAAATAAAATTAAAATACAAAAGTACGTTGCATAGGATGTAAATTACATAAAATATTATATCGATAGAATTCAAATTACATAAAATAAATTACATTGATAAAATAAAAACTACATGATATATTAAAATACACTACTTTAATATTGAGAAATATCAGCATTTCCATCTCCAACAATATACCTGAAATATTGAGAAAAAATATTCGAAGAAGACTATGGATTTGATCCGTGAAATTCCATTGTTTTTTTTATGTAAAATTTTATCTTTCTTGAGCTGGTAATAAGCACGCTAAACAAAATAAAAAATAACATTCAAGTCCATATTCATAATTTTTTCCTCACGTGTCATTCTCTTAAATGCTAATTTTTCTTGTTCCAATTGCAAAATTTTTTGTCCGTGCAAAGTTGATTTTTGTAGCATTTCCAGAACTATTGAATTTTGGTCTTTAACATTACTAACATGAGCATCTTCTTTATCTTTATTTTTCTTCTGTTGCTTTACTTTTTTCACCCCTATAGGACGCTCTCATCATCGTCTAAATTAACAGAAAATTATACATTTTTAGGAGATTCAAAAGCAGTGTCATCCAATTATGATGATACATGAGCGAAATTATTTTTTCGAGGTATTTTATACGAGTTTCTAGCTTCATTGTGATCATTAATTGTTTCAAAATCTTTTAACAAGTTCCAAACATGATCAAATTTAAAACCTTTGTTGAAACTTGCATTTTTCTTCATTAGTATCTCATTTGTTTGATTTAAATGCAAACAACACTTTAAGGTTACAAATAGAACTTTCGAACTATATCTATATTAACAATAAATTCAAGAAAAGACTTACAATATCCATCTCTGAAACTCCACTTGGTTTTAAGGTTTCCACTTTATTGATACAAGCAAGTAATTTTCAAACAGCTTTCTCCATGGCTTGGGTCCGATTTTGTATAGATCTTGCACTATGTATCTCTCAATCAAGATTTTTAGTTTGATTGTATGCATCAGTGATTCGATTCTAAAATTAATCCTTGGATTGTTGCCTTCCGATAATTTGATCTTGCGAGATATCTACATAATATTAGCATAGCAACACATCTTCATCATGACAATAACCACCACCTCGGATGGACATTTTGAGGAAAAAAAATTAATAAAATTTTGTTCTATTAGAATGAGAAGTGAGTTGTTTTGGTACAATAATTCAAATGATGGAAAGATATATTTATAGACAAATTTTAGATAAATATCAAATCTTATCCATTGAAAAACTTAATTCCAAACGTTCATTTAGATTTCACAACACCCTAGCCATGGGATCAAAATACTTTTTTGACCAATCTCAATTATTTATATTATATTTTACTATACATATATAAATATATATTATTAGATCTACTTATTCATATCAAAGTAATCCGAACCGTTCGTTTGGATTTCGTCTTTATTTCATCCGTTGGATGGATATTTATATTATCCAAATAATAATATATATATTATAAATTATAAAAATCTACTTATCCATGTCAGAGTAATCATGATCGTTCGTTTGGATTTCATCTTCATTTCATCATTTGGATGGATATCTATATTATCCAAATAATAATTATATATTATTATAAATTATAAAAATCTAGTTATCCATGTCAGAGCAATCCTGTTCACTCGTTTGGATTTCATCTTTATTTCATCCGTTGGATGAATATTTATATTATTCAAATAATTATCATATATTTATATTTTATCTAAAAATTTTCATTCTATAAATTATTGGGCATTCAACGAAGGTTTATTAATCAAAAATATATTCACTTATCAAAACAATATTATTTTTTCAGTATGAATAACTCTTCATCGTCAGATGATGAAGAAGTTAGTAAAATTTTCATGGAGTCCATTCAAGAGGACGAAGCAACAATTTCCATACTAATAAAAAATAATGCTTATTTGGAAAAGTTACTCAATCTCTCTCAATCAACCAATTGAAGCTCTATCCCACATCATTGAGTAATTAATTGTGATCGTGAAATTTCATATCGTAATTTATATAATGATTAATTTTCAAATAATCCGTTATAATGAACAAATGTTTCGTTGATGATTTCGAATGTCTTGAAGTCTATTTTTTCGTATTGTTGATGCGGTTAAATATCATGATCCGTAATTTCAACAACGAAGAGATGGTTTTGGTAGACTTGGTTTGTCAACCTTACAAAAGGTAACTACTATTTTTTGGGTGTTAAGCATATGGTGTACCTGCAGATTCAACTGATGAGTACATTAAAATTCGTGAATCAACGACAATTGAAAGTGTTAAGAGATTTTGTCGTGCCGTTGTTAAAATTTTTTCAACTGAATATCTTCGACATCCTAATGCTAGTGATATTGCAATGTTGCTTCATATTGGAAAATCTCATGGTTTGCCAGGTATATTGGGTAGTTTAGATTGTATAGATTGGAAATGACAAAATTGTCCAACGAGTTTTGCAGGTCAATATGCAGGTCCTAGTGAATCACCAACTATTATTCTCGAAATTGTGGCTGATTATGATCTTTGAATTTGACATGCATATTTTGGTATGCCAAGTGCTAATAATGACTTTAATGTTTTAGAATTCTCGCACTTGTTTTCAAATCTTGCTCTACATATTGCATCTCCTAAACATTATACCCTTCAAGGAAAAAATACAATATGGGGTATTATCTAGTTGATGGTATTTATCCTCAGTAAGCTACTCTTGTGCAAACTATTCATGATCCACGAGGTCTGAAGAAAGACTTTTTGCACAGAAACAATAGTCTTGTAGAAAAGATGTTGAGCATGCTTTATGAGTTCTACAATCACGTTGGTATATAATTATTGGAGCTGTTCGATTTTGGCAAAAAAATGTTCTGCATGATATTATCACTGCTTGCATTATTATGTATAATATGATAATAGAAGGTAAACAAAATCTCAGTGCACCTATCAGAGAAGCTTTAGAAACAACACCCCCATCAGTAGAAATGACAACCGATAAAACTATCCAACTTCACCAATTGTTTGCCCGACATAGGCAAATTAAAGACAAAGATGCTCATTTCACACTTAGTTAGAGCATATATGGGCAATATAGAAATTCCATTAAATGAATATGTCGTATTTTTTTGAACTATGAATGTAATGCATGTTTTTTTTTAATAAATTGTTATGAAAGAATAATATTATATTATCTTTGTTTAAATCATTATATCATATTTGTCTTGATAACATTTAAGTATTTATTTAAAATTATTTTATTTGTAATAGTTATTAATTATAAATGTTAATTTTCATATATGTAATTTTTAAATTAAAATATAAATTATATATTATAATGTATAAATAAATTAAAGTTGGGATGTAATTTATAAATATGAAAAATTATATAAAATAATATAAAAGAATAATATATAAGAAATATACGTTTTAGAGTGAAAAATGAAGTTAAACTGCATTTTTACAATAACTACTGCAAAAATGAAATAGAAAGTTGGAGAAGGTCTAACAGACATGGCTTACCCTTTGAGCAAAATGAATTGCATTTTCCTTCCTATGCACAAAATTACAAACATATAGATTATCGAAAAACACAAAAGGTACCAACCATCTACTTTAAATGGCATATAATATCAACAGACAATTCATTTCGAGTATTTAAATGTCATATTATATGTCCATGAAATTATGAAATTGTGCCAATCGACTATAGAATAAAAATTCAGACAAATAACACAAACATTGACGACCCAAAACTAAAATCAAAGCAAATCTAACAAATAAATAACAATACCCCAAAATAAATAGTGGGATTGAATCCTTAAGAGGTTGACAGAGGATATGACAAGTAGAGCGTCAACGACCGAGAATAAAAAGCGAAATAGAAACACCTACCTTCACCGAGACGCAAAAATACAGGAAACAACCTTCGTAGGAAAAACGGAACTGGATGCGGCATTGGAGTATGGAGGAATGATTTACTGCGCTGCTTCGGTCGGATGTTTGGCCGAAAAGGCTTTCTAGAGAGAGGGACATCCATAATTGATGAGATAGGACGGAGTAAATTATGAAGTTTATGTATGGGTGGCAATTTCGGGCTAGCCCGCATTTTTGTGACGGGCCGGCCGAGTTCATTTCCACTACTCTTTTTTTTTACATAAATTTATTTGTTAATATATTTATAAAAGTATTTTTTAAAAAATATATTTAATAAAAAATGGGCCGGGCAAAGCATGACCAGATTTTTCATTATGTCAGGCTGGGCATGGCCCGAAAACTTTTTGGACTTATTTTTTATGTTCAAACATAATTTTTTTATGTCGGATTCGGATCAAATTTTCGAATTGTGCCTATTTTTGCTACCTTTAAATTTATGTATCCATCCGTTCTACATTTCATTTATTAGTATTAGATATACCCACACTAAAACAAATTTTAAAAAATAAAAAAATTCTGAAAGTGCCACATGGCACCACACTTTCTAGCCTATATATATACACTATATAGGAATGCGATTGGTTGTGTTACGATTCATGGAATAAACTATTTTTTTCGTTAAATCACAATTATGGTACAATATTATATTTTTATAAGAGATATATTAGGTAGGATATATATATAAATATATACAATATATATATAGAATATATATCAACATCCCCCCTCAAACTCAAGGTGGAACGGTGGAACCCAACTTGAGTTTGCTCAAAAATGACTGAAAGCGGCCGGAAAGGTGAGGTTTGGTGAATCCGTCGGCCGTCTGATCAGAAGAGGAAATGGGAGACAAGGAGATACTTACATGAGCAACGTGATGACGTACAAGGTGACAGTCGATCTCAATGTGCTTCGGACGCTCGTGGAAGACATCATTCGTCGAAATCTTCATGGCGCTCTGACTGTCGCAATGGATAATAGTGGCAGAGGGCTGAGGCACTCCAAGATCAACCAGCAACCAGCGAAGCCATAGAAGCTCGGCAGTGGTATCGGCAAGGGCTCTATATTCGGACTCTGCGCTGGACCGGGAGACAACTGTCTGTTTTTGCTGTGCCACGAAATAAACGAGTCGCCAAGGAAGAAGCAAAACCCAGTGGTCGAGCGGCGATCAAAGGGATCTCCCGCCCAATCAACGTCAGAATACCCGGTCAAAACTAAGGAAGAACGAGCGGAATAATGAAGCCCATGAAGAAAAGTACCTTTGATGTACAGGAGAATCCGTAGGACAGCAGAATGATGGGTTGTCCGAGGAGCAGACATAAACTAAATGACGATATGGACAGCATAAGCAATATCCGGTCGAGTGACAGTCAGGTAGATGAGACTTCCCACCAACTGACGATACAAAGTCGGATCATCAAGGGGAACGCCGTCCATCGGAGTAAGACGAAAATCAGAATCAAGAGGTGTAGGAGCAGTTTTGGAGTCAGTGAGACCGGCACTAGATAGGAGGTCGGAGGCATACTTGGCTTGAGAGAGATAATATCCGTCGGAGGTGTCGGAGATCTCAAGTCCTAGGAAGTACCGAAGAGGCCCTAAACTCTTCATCTCAAAGTGGCGGTGTAGATGAGCCTGCAACTCAGAGATACCTGATGCATCATCTCCCGTAATGATTATGTCATCCACATAAAGCAATAAAACAGTAATTCCAGCTGACCCACGTCGAAGGAAGAAAGCCGAATCATGATCGCTAGAAGTAAAGCCAAGCTGGAGTAGAGCAGAGCTAAATTTCGAAAACCAAGCTCGAGGTGCCTGTTTCAAATCATATAGGGCACGGCGAAGTTTGCATACCTTGGAAGAGGTAGGAAAACCAGGAGGATGAGACATGTAGATGTCCTCGGATAAATCACCATGCAAGAACGCATTCTTGACATCAAGCTGATGCATGGGCCACCGACAAGCGGCAGCGATGGCGATAAGACAACGGACAGAGGTAAGACGAGCAACCGGGGCAAATGTTTCCTCATAGTCGATACCATACTGCTGGGTGTAGCCTTTGGCTACCAAACGCGCCTTGTAGCGCTCGATGGATCCATCATAGTGAGTTTTGATTCTGAATACTCACTTGCAGCCAATAGGTTTCTTGCCAGAGGGAAGATCAACCATATCCCACGTATGAGTTTTCTCCAAAGCCTGCAACTCCTCAGACATAGCCTGCCGCCATAACGGATCCGCATACGCCTCACGAAAGGACCTGGGCTCATGATGGGACAAGGTGGCAGAGAAACAGTGATAATCAAGTAAGTGAGTAGGAAGGTGATTAACCCGAGTGGAACGACGAGGGCCAGGATCAGGGGCTGAGATCGAAGTCGTGTCGGGCTCTGTTGATGGTGATGTATCGGAGTCGAGAGTAGGAGTAGGCTCGGGGATCAGCGTCGGTTCAGGAGGCGCAAACCGGGACAGCGTCAGGGACGGGAGACGGAGCCGTGTCATCGGAGGGGAATAGAGGTGGAGAGGACAAGGCAAAGAACAGAGACGAACGATCAAAGGGGACTCGAAAGTGGGACAAGGAAGAGAATTTGGTATCCTCCCAAAATGTACCATGACGAGAAATACGTAGCCTATTGGAAATGGGATCCCAACAACGATAACCCTTATGCTCTAACCCGTATCCCAGGAAGCAACACAGACGCGCGCGAGGTTCTAACTTAGTGCGCTCATGAGGAGGGAGGAGGACAAAACTGACACAACCAAAAGAGCGGAGAAGACTATAATCAGGGGTACGATTAAATAGTCTTTCAAAGGGACTGACATTACCCAGGACAGAGGAAGGGACACGATTTATAATGTGGACAGCAGTAAGTGCGGCTTCCCCCCAAAAGCGATCCGGACAAGAGGCAGATAAGAGAAGGGTGCAGACTGTATCGAGGATATGTCGGTGTTTACGTTCGGCGCGACCATTTTGTGGAGAGGTGTATGGGCAGGAGCGTTGGACAACAGTACCTTGATCAGATAAGAAACAAAGAAATGATGAATCAGTATACTCAAGAGCATTATCTGTGCGGAGAGTTTTTATGGTAGAGGAAAATTGGGTATGTATCATTTTAGCAAAGGTCATATAAATAGATGGAAGTTCAGAACGATGCCGCAGAAAGTAAATCCATGTAAAGCGAGAATAGTCATCAATAAAAATCACAAAATAACGAGAACCATTCATAGACACAGCGGGCGAAGGTCCCCAAATATCCGAGTGAACTAAGGAAAACGGTGTATCCGCAATAGAAGTACTAGGAGGAAATGACAAGGTAGGTTGTTTTCCCAACGAACAATCCACACAATGAAAAGACTCAAACTTGACAGCACCCAAACTACCCTGACTAATCAAAGACCTGACTTTATTGAAGGACGCATGACTGAGACGATGATGCCACTGAAGGCAGAATGGTGTAGAGGTGGTGGCAGCCGAGATAGAAGGACGAGGGACCTAGAGTGACGTAAGTTCAAATAAGCGGCCCGTCTTCCGGCCCTTCCCAAGAGTCCGCCCGGTTTGCGCGTCCTGAACCTGCACACCAGTAGAAGAAAAAATCACTGTGAGACCTTGATCAACTAGTTGACCAACGGAAATCAGATTTAAGGTTAATTGAGGGATACAGTATGTGTCGGGAAGGGATAAGGATGAGGTGGATGTATGTCCGGTATGGGTGATGCGCATATGGGTACCATTTGCAGTAAGGATAGAAGGTAAGGATGGTGCGGTGGTTGTGGAGGTCATAAGGCGTATATCAGAGGTCATATGATTACTGCAAGCAGAATCAAAATACCAAGGAGAGTTACCTAATGTGGTAGACATGGCGGTATTGGAAGATAGAACCTGTTTAAGAAGAGCTTCCAGGTCCTGAATCGTAGGAGGCGCAGGCGCAGGCGCAGGCTTGGCAGAGGCTGTGACAAATGAGGTACCAGACTAAGGTCCAAGAGAATGCCGAGGCTTGTAGTTACTACTGCCAGAGCGAGACGGCCTAGTGGGGCAATAATGTATGGTATGGCCTAAAACATGACAGTAGTGACACTCCACCTTTGGGCAATGACCGAAGTCATGATCAGAAGACTGACATCTTTTGCAGCGATGAGAACGACTCTGAGTAAGAGTTCGGGCAGTGACCGCAAGAGCAGAATCAAGCTGAGGAGCCTTAGCTAGGTGGAGACGAGTTTCCTCAAACAGAATCTCCTGAATAGCTGCATCCAAGGTAGGAAGCGGATGTCGATGTAACAAAGAGGCACGAACTGCCTCATACTCTGGACGCAAAGCCATCAAGACCTGAATGAGGCGAAGATGATCAGGACTGATCTCTGCTTGATCCAACCGATGCCAAAGGGGTTGCACTTGGGCAAGGAAGTCGTTGATAGATTGTCCCGGTTCCTGTTTTAGATCATGGAGAGCGCTCCATAACTGATAATAGTGTGCCAAACCAGTAGCACGGAAACGGACTGCCAAGAAATCCCACGCTGTCTTGGCAGTGTCAAATTGGGCAAGCTGAACATGGATCGCTGGAGTGGAAGTATTGCGCAACCAAGTGAGAATTTGATGGTTCTTACTATCCCAATCCTCCAATTTTTCAATATAAGATTCAACAACTGTGGCGGTAGGCGTAACTTCTCCTATAGAAACCGGAGCAATGGGAGCAACTATATCTCCCGTAACAATTCGCCACAATTTCCGACCTATCAAAAAACTTTTCATCGATTGTGCCCACATACTGTAATTATCTCCGGACAGAACAACATTGATCGGAATATGTACATCCATCTTTTCCATAGAAATTCAAGAGAAGACAATATCTCAAACCTCAAGCCGAGAGCCGAAACGATAGAAACACAAGTAAACCGAATCGAACCCGAAACACGAAAAGTCAACCGGATACAAAAAACTGCTCAAACGGAAGAAGTGAAGATACCATCGCGGAGGAAATCAAATTCCGAACATGACGGTGCAAAGATCGCCGCCAACGGCCGCCGCACGCGCCTCCACGCGCCAGGCACGTGTGAGGCTCACGCACCGCCGTTCGCCGAACTGTTCCGGTGTCCGGCCGGTCTCGTGA